ACATTTCTTATCTCTCAGGTCAGAAACCCTCAATACCTATGCGATGTGCTGTGTTTTTGTTAATGGCTTTCATCTCATTAAAGAAATATTTTCTCTAGTTAAACATGGTCGTAGGCCCGGAATCAACTTTAATTTTTAAATTATGTTTTACGTAGGAAATTTATCATGAGGTAGCCGATGTGTGTAAATGACTCCCATCTGTGACACTTTAGGCTGTTGTTAAGCTAGGGTCAATACAGAAATAAGATTGTTATCTTGTCATTTCTCAGAAGCAATTCCTAAAAACCTAAAAATTTCCTTTCTTTGAAGATTTCAAATAAATTGGTCATAAAAATCATCTAATCCTGGTAACTTTCCCAGGAATTGTTTTCATCTATAATTGTTGTTGCATTTAGGTTTTCTTTTATAAGACTACAACTCAGCAATTTCTATTTTCTGAACGATAACCCGATTGGTGCAGTTTTTAAGTTGTTGTTTTCTCAAGCAGTTGCTGAAAACATTCTAATATTTCCCCTACTTGTAATATCTTCTAATTAGAGTCCATTTTTTCACAACAACAATACAATATCAACATTTTGGGTGTCTTATTCATGTTCGGCACTCGTAATTAAAGTTTTTCAATATCTTTTTTAATTGGTGAGAAAAAATTAATTTTTGATTTCATGTTTCAAATTCATCTAAGTACTACATAAACTTGTCTTTAGAATATTCAGTATTGCATTTGGGCAATATTGTTTCACCTAAATCTGGAGAAACACAACTTTGCTTTTCTGTTTAGAAAATAGGGCATTAGCAATTGATTTTTTTTCCTTACCACTAGATTAATTTACACTTAATATTTTGCATTTGGGGTTGTTGATTGTTATGCAAGGGAGATCTTTTTTAAGTAGGTGCCACATTTCCCCCATTTTTCAGATCAGGAAATTGGCATAAATCAGTATTTTACTTGTCCCACGTCATCCTGAGATCATGTGGCCTGCCAGGGGTTCAAACACAGAGCTTGTTTTCTTAATCTGCATACTGCAAATGTCTGCATTTAGCGTATACTTCTGACTGTAAACCCCCGTCTGTGAAGGGAAGCTCCCCGTGGGACCTCTGCCCTGCCTGCCAGCTTCATCGCTGGAGCAGAGGTTTGCAAGCATTTACTTATTGAAGAATTTTTAAGTTGTCATGAAGGATTTCTCCTCATAAATTTAACAAGTTGCAAAGCGATAACTTTTTGATTATTGCAAATATGTTGCTTTAAAGTAAAACTCCTTCACTTTAAAACATATCTAGCTATAGCTGAATGTCATAAAGATTTAGCACTTCATTCCGTTTTATAAATTTCTCTTAATAAAAATTATACACCCTTCTGTTTTTCTTATCTTTCATTTTCCATTGTAAAACTTTATATTGGATTACCAAATATTTTCATGATGATTTGTTATTCTTTAATGTATTTTTACAAGAAAACTGGGCATATAAATTTAATGTTTCAGTCCTTTTGATTTAACTGCCTAAATATTAAATTACTGTTTTCTTGGATTAAATTATTACTGTTATAATTAGTTGTACTCATTTGATTAAAACAACAAATTAACATTTTGACAATTTTCAGTCTTCATTGAAAATTAATTTTTTTTTTCTTTCTTTTTTTTTTTGGTTTTTGAGACAGGGTCTCACTATGTAGTTGAGACAGACCTGGAACTCAACATGTAGCCTAGGGTGGTCTTGAACTAGCAGCGATCCTCCTGCCTCAGAGTCCAGAGTGCTGGGATTACAGGCATGTGCCACCACGCCTGGCAAAAATTAATTTCTTAATTAAATGGATAGAAAGCTTTTCCAATTTTCCTGATTTTTATTAATAATTCATATCCATTGATGAAATGCAATTCATTTTAATAAGATAGTGTTCCATAACAGTGACAGTTATTGTGTCTGTTTTCATCTTTTACCATGTAAGGGCTGAGAAAGCTTATTCGCGTAAGCTACTAACAGAACCTAGAGGAAGTTCTGATTCATCAACGCTGGGCAAGTCTTTCCTATCATTATTGTGTTCTGTATTTAAATCATATGACATGTATCATGCCATTATCTGAGAAAAATTATATTCTTTCAAATACTATTTTTAATGATTTATCAAAGGGAACTCTATTAGTTTCTTCACAGTTTGTATTCAGTTTAATGAGAAAGCAGCCCCCTGATCTGCAAGATTTCTCACCCAATCATTAGGCATCCGCCTTCTCAGGGCCAACACCAGTATTTCCAATTTTGAAACCAGATCTGTAGTTTCACACTCTGGTACAATGCACATTATCATACACAGGAAGACCGCGTGAGGCTCCTGCCTTTCTTTGTAAAGCTTACTGTGAGAATAAAGATGAGAGCAAAGCATAATTATTTATTGTACTCTTGTTAGACCAACTTTAAGAAGGAATATCTGTCCAGGATGAAGATATGGAAATTGACTGTCTTTCACAGAGAATCCAAGGATCACTTGACATATCTGCAAAGTTCATCAGTGACGCAACCCTAGGTGAAAACAACTGCTCTATGTGCTCTCTGACCACTCTTGATTTAAAATTTAGCAATTTTAAATGCCAAATTTCTAGGGAAAAAAATAGAATTGGCCCAGCGTGAGCAAGTTTTCTAGTCCGTGCGCAATGAATCACGGTTGCTTGGAGAGACTCACACATCACGCACGGACCACCAAGCACCAGTCTGTACAGGCTGAGGGCCAGGCCTCAAAAAGACAGCGCCGTGAGCAAGACTGTCCTCTCCGGAATGGCCAGCGATGACCTCTCTCTTTTTGTTTTACTTCCGGTTAGATTCCATGAATAGCCTACTTCATCTGTCCCACATATATTATTTTGTCTTTCTTTGTGAAACTTTCTGCTTTTCTTGAGTTGGGGTTTATTGGTTTTCTTTTTTAATTTTATTCATTAAGTTTATTGGTACATTTTAGGTATACAATATGATGCCATTCACCATCAGGAATTTATTTGCACCTTCACATGATAAATCTTGGTTACTTTTTCCCCATTTCCTTGCTCTCCCTTCAACCCCTCCACCCCTCCTTATTTAAAAAGACTTTATTTCATTTGTTCCTTTTCTCATATATTTTCCTTTCTCTTCCTTCTTTTTTCCTCTACCTGTCAGACTTCCCCTTCCCCTTCCCCTTTGGACCTTTTCTTCCTATTTCACATTATCTATTATAGATTTTGATCCCCATTTACACTTTCAGTTACTCACACCAGAGAAACTATTTGGTATTGAACCATGTGTCCTATGTGTTTCCCTTAAGAGTATGGGCTCAATGTGCATTCATTTAGCTATAAATGTCTCTAGCTTCTCATTCTTTAGGGTTGAGTAGTGCTGCATTTTATTTATTTTTTAAAAACAAACATCTTCGTTATCCAGTCACCAGTTGATGGGCAATTGGGCTGTTTCCAAGATTTAGCTGTTACAAACTGTGCCGCTATAAACATGGGTGCATGTATATCACTGTGGTATGATGCTTTTAATTATTTTGAGAAGATAGCCAGCAGGGGAATAGCTCGGTCAAAAGGGAACTCTAATCCTAGTTTGTTGAAGTATCTCCATTCTGATTTCCACAGAGGTTGCACCAGTCTGCACCCTCACCAACAATGGAAAGTGTTCCTTTTCCCCCTCACCCCCACCAGCATTTGTTATTGGTTGATTTCTTGACAGCAGCCATTCCTTCTGGTGTGAGGTGGAATCTTACCAATGTTTCCATTTGCACCTCTTGGATAACCAGTGATGTTAAACATTTTTTATTTGTTCGTTTTCTGTTTCTACTTCTGTCTGTTCATTTTAGATGCTCGTTTTTGGATTGGGTCTTTAACTTTGGGGAGTGTAATTTTTTTTAAGTTCTTTATATATTCTTTATATATTCTATATTCTTTGTCTGAGGAATAGCTAGTAAAAATTTTTTCCCACATTGTGGGTTAACTCTTCATGCTGTTGGTGGTTTTACTTGAAATGCAGAAGCTTTTTAATAAGAAGAGATTCCACTTGTTGATTCTTTCTGCTAATTCCCATGCTACTGAAGTTTTGTTCATGAAATCTTTTCCTGCACCAATGTTTTCAAGAGTTCTACCTAACCTATCATCCAGCAGATTTAGTGTTTCTGTTTTAATATTTATATCTTTGATTCCCTTTCATTTTAGTATAGTGCATGATGAAAGATAAAGGTCTAGTCATAATCTTTGGCAGGTTGAAATCCAGTTTTCCCAGCACCACTTATTAAAGAGGCTATCTTTCCTCCAGTGAAGGTATTTGGCTCCTTTGTCAAAGATGAGGTGACTAAATATGTTTGGAGTTGTTTCTGCATCTTCTAATTTGTTCCATAGATCCTTGGGTCTATTTCATTGCCAATACCATGATGTTTTATCACACTAGTTTTGTAGTATAGTTTCAAGTTGGGAATTGTGATACCTCCAACCTTGTCTTTGCTGCCTAGGATCACTTATGCTATTCTAGGTCTCTTCTCATTCCAAATGAATTTTTGGATTGTTTTCTCTAGTTCTGTAAAATATACTGTTGGGATTTCAATTGGGATTGCATTGAATCTGTACAGCATTTTTGGAAGTATGGCCATTTTCACTATATTGGTTCTTCCTACCCAGGAACAAGGGAAGCTTTTCCATTTTCTGATATCCTCTTCAATTTCTTTCGCTGTTATCAATTTGTCCATAACACAAGTCAACTTCTTTCCTATAGGTTTTAATAGATAGTAATCCTTTTTTAGTAGTTTGGAGGCACAATTTATACCATAGATACACATCTGCTTTATAGTGCAATGCAAGAATATAAAAAGGCAATAAAAGGAGAGATCTGTAACTTCTGCAAAGCAGAAGTTTAAAAATCCAGCTTAATAAGATTACTATCCCTCAACAAACTAATTGAGAAGGCAATTTAATTACTGAGCACAGATCCTTAACCTATGCTTAAAACTTGATCTCTCAATAAAAATGATGGAATACTTTAAATCATTCACAAATATGGAATGCTTTGCAAATTTGCATGTCATCCTTGCACAGGAACCAGGTTAATTTTTTCTGTATCATTCCAATTTTAGTGTATGTCTTGCTGAAGTGAGCAAAATTATCTTAATGTCATTAATTTTGAATAGTCTGCCATTTCAATTGATTTACAATTGCAAGGCCATTTTTAAAGCAGACTCTCCTTTTCAGTACTAGAGATTAACCCAAGGATTTTACCCTGAGGCACATCCACAGCCCTTTTTTTTTTTTTTTTTTTTTTTTTTTTTTTTTTTTTTTTTCCAGAAAAAGAAAAGATCTTCTAAGTTGCCCAATCAGGGCTTGAATTTGTGATCCTCCTGCCTCAGCCTCTCAGACTGCTGTGAGTATAAACACCAGTCTCTACAATTTTCTTGTGGAAACTTGTCTTTCACCAAGAATCTTAAATAATTTCCTGCCAATCCACACTTGCCTATTGTCAAATATCAACACAGCACCCACATGTTCATGTTAAATTGTGAACAGTTCACAGCATGCTGTACTCACACTGAATAACAGATTTTCATCAAGTTTAGAATAAATTCCAAACTCTCTGTCACAGCTTAAATCTCTCTTCTTCATCTGTTCACACTCAAACCTCTCCATTCTCATCTGTCGTGACCCACTGATTCTGACAACAATGGCAGCCTGGCTTTTCCTGGAGCACCAGAGCTGCTGCCATGAAAAGACATCAACGTTCCCATTTCCTGAGCTTGGGATTCTCTTCTTCCTAATCTTCACGGCCATTCTGTCATGTCATTCAGGTTCTGCCTCAAGTGGGACCTCTCTGGGAGTATCTTCAACGTTCACTCCTCAACTTGTATTCAAAAAAGAGGGGCAAGAGCAGAATGAGTGAAGAATATATATAATATTTTATTTGTAGAGAGCATTTGTGGAGGAGGAAAACAGGGTGCTACTGAGAGTCAGTGTTGTCTGTTCCTTGCTGCTTTCCAAACCTTATTCTACAGGACTAAACATCTATTTCAGACTACTTAGAGAGTTTTGGTAATGACATTATCAGGAGCGATGGTTAATGAGAACGAAAGTAAAGGTTTCATGGGGGAGAAAACGTTTGTTGGGTTATGGAGTTTAGGTAAATTTATGTCAGGTAATGGGAGAGATGTAGGCATCCCAGGAAACTTAAACAGTGTGTGGAAAACACAGAAGGTGAAGGGGAAATGAGGAACGTGCCACTGAATATTTTATGCAAATTTTTATCTTTAGGGCCTTGTTTACTAGAGGCAAATAATCCACCTGTCTCAGTAGGGCAATGGAAGCTTGTTAAGGAATAATAGAAAATAATATTACCTAGGAAAAGCAGAAACAGATGGAAGATTTTTAAATTTCAGGGGAGAGGTTTAGCTTTGTTGTTCTAGGAAAAAGAAAGTCACTGACAGTATTTTTTGTTTTGTTTTGTTTTGTTTTTTTGAGACAGGGTCTCACTATGTAGCTGAGACTGACCTGGAACTCACAGCGATCCTCCTGCCTCAGCCTCCCGAGCGCTAGGATTACAGGCGTGTGCCACCACGCGCCGCAGTCACTGAAAGTTCTTGAACAAGGGGATCCCCACGTTTCCACACGGTAGGGGGAAGATTGTCCCACATCGTTATGATGAACGGATTAAAAGGTTAACACCTGGAGGCCGAGGGGCGGAAGAGGAGTCTTTCCCGTCATTCTCAAAATGGTGGGGTCTGGACAGAAGAAAGATTTTCGTTTGGATGACAGACGATAGAGATGAAGGTGAAATTTACTTCTTGTTGTTTGTACCTTTGTTTTGATCAACAAGACTTACAAGCTGTCTCCATTTGAGAAGTAGAGGGTGGATGTCTGCTGCAATTCTAATGGTAAATGTCACCACGACCCCTGCGCTACAGGCTTGACCCCAGGTGGCGCTACTGGGAGGCAGAAAAATACGGTGGGGGGGGGGCTGAAACTTTGTGACAGGTCATCAGGTCATTTCAGCCCTCCACTTAGGAGGACCTGGCTGCACTCTCCACTTCTGCTTTTTCACCTGTCCCCTGGCTGCGGTTGGCTCTGACCAGTGCTCCCCACCTTGCCGTCCGCCACACCTACCATGGGCCCAAGACAAAGGTTCTGCATAGGCTCAGGCTGGAGCCTCCAAAACTCCGAGCCAGAGAAACATTTGTCTACGTCTTTAATAATTTCAGATACTTTGTTATCGCGATAAAAAACTCATCCCAAAATAAATTCAGTCTACGAATGACAATTTTTATACATAAATTCTGCTGTGGTGGCTTACATAATAAACAAAAGGGACAGGTGTACAAAATCAGATTCCTCTGCCGAAATGCTTGATCTTAATCCCTGTCTACATTTCACAGACTCTTACAATTTACAAATTCATTTACAGAATTTTTTTTCTCATTTTATCCCACAAATACTCATTTAAATTATAATTCATACCACTATTTAATACAGATGATAAAAGTACTAAGAGTGTCTATATCATGACCCCTTCACAGCATTGTAAATCCAAGGGACTCGAAACCAGGAACTGTATCTTTTTATTTTATTTTATTTGTATTTGTTTATTTTTTTTGGTACCAGGGATGGAACCTGGGTCCTTGTGCTTATGAGGCAGGCGGTGGAACCACTGAGCTAAATCCCTGGCCTAGGAATTATATTTTAAAGCTTCACTATCTATTTACTGTTTTATGCTTTAGAGAGTGAAATACCTAACAGTTTTTGAGCATGTTTTATGTTCCAGCCAAATGCATTATAATCTCATTTAACTTTCTGAGCACTCGACAAATTAGGCATTCTAATTAGAAATACTGTTTATGGAAATATGAAATTTCAGAAGGTAATTTGCAATGGATAATCCAGCTTGTATGTGGCAGGAAAAATATTAGAAGATAGTCCTTTCTGATCCAAGCACCTGAGCTCTGGCAGCTGTACTTTTTTGCAAAATCAGAAAGGGGACAAAAGAATACCACAGAAACACAGAGTTGTGAGAAGTTTCTTAGGAATGTTGGATCAGGTGATGATTTTCTGAAGCCGTTAGCATTTAAAGATCTGGAATATGGCAAAGATACCCACTCTTAAGCCTTCTATGTAGCATAAAAAAGGAAGAATAGAATTGGCACTGCTTGTTGATAATATGATGCTGTATAAGCAAAGCCTTACACATGCCATCAAAAACAATGTTAGAGCAAATAAATAGACACAATAAACGTGAGGGTACAAAACCAAAGTGCAAAAATTAACACACATTTCTATACACTAACAATGTAGTTTCTGGAAAAAAAAACAAAAGAACACTATTTATGATGAAAATGAAAATTTAATCATTGAGGTGAAAGACTATGCATACAACTGTAAAAATTTGATGCCAAAATTGAAGAAGACACAAATAAATGGAAAGATATTCTATGTTCATGGATTGGAAAAATTAATATTTTTTAAATATCCATACTACTCATTTGACTAGGCTTTACAGAAAGAGGGCTACACAAAAATAATGATCCATGTTAATAGCTTTGGATATCAAATTTAACTCCAAAGTTTTGAGCTAACTCCCTTGGCTATTAGTTGTATTAATTCCTGTAGAAAAGTTGAGAAGAGACACCAAATGGGACAGAATAAGTTTTCGGAGTCAATCTTGGATATGTTACTACACTACATTAAATACCTAAGTACAATGAATATCTGGCTAACTTTTGGAAAGTGTTCAGATAGTTGGAAAAGAACATATGTATTTGGGATTCCATAAAATTATGTTCCATAAAATCATATTGAAGACTGAATGTAATTTTATGCTGGCAAAGTTGTTAGAAAACAGAAAAATATTGTTATTTTGTGATTTTTTTTTTCACACAAAAAGGAGAGCTACAATTCTGGAGGGAAGTGAGATATTTCTGAGATTTGTTAATTAGCAAGGAAAACAGATGTGTAAAAATATTTTTTTAAATATTGGGCATTTAGGAAATAAGAAGAATCTGAGTATTAGAGAGCAATATAACATACCTTCCTAAAGGTCAAGGGAAAAGTAATTTTAAGGAGTGAAAAGACTGAGTAGATGGGAATTGAATAAATGGTTTCATTAGTGCTGGCAATTAATCTCAAAAGGTAACCCTGATGGAAAGGGAGAGGGAAAAAAAACAATAAAGTGTTCTTAAAATTAGATTAGCAGAGATGAAAGGCACATTGAAGATGTTTATAGTAAAAGAGAAAAAAGAAGCTAAGGGAGATATGAGGAAATTTACGTATGGAAAGATTGGAAAAGAATATATGAATATTCTTATGAAACGAGAAATAGTTGTGTCAGAGAGAAAAATAGTTGGTTTTATACTGGAATCAATTGTTTCTGTAGAGTTGGAAAAATTCAATTTGATGAGCTGAAGAAGTGGGGATTCGTCCTAAAACTTTTCAAACACACAGGGTGAACAATGATTGTGTGAGGACCATGGATGGAACTTGAAGAGGGAGGGGTTAGGAAACTGGACAGAGAGGGCAAAAAGTAACAGCACTACAATGGCAGCCACACTGCAGGGGACTTTGTCAGAGAACCAGAAACAACAAATTAAAGAGGAAGGGCTCTGGGAAGGGCTCAGTTCCAATGAGCATGAAATTGTGGTGAGCTGCATCTGAAGAATTCCTTGTTCGCTCCCTGTGGAGTTGTGAGATATGCATCAGGTTGCACAGGCAGAACGAAACCCCAGGAAAACAGAAAAATTAACAGGGCTTCCATCCATCTCTTCGCTGACCTGGGAAAACAATGCATTCAAATTGGATTTTAGATTTCCACATTCCAATTTCACTATGAGATAAAGAAGTCATTTTCGGGTGAAGCCCTATTCTTTTAATATTGTTGCTATGGGAAAATTCTTTCCAAATTAAAAAAAAATTCATATCAATTAAATTTTAAAACTTCACACGTAAGTTAAAAATTGCCTGATCCAAGGAATAGAAGTTCAACTGTAATTAAAGCTTCTGTTTAACCAGTAATGAAGAAATTCATTATGATATCTTCCTATTTACAGTTCTTGCTGTGGCCGTCAGAAAAGTATTTTACAGAGATATAGTTGAGACTATATTTTGGTTGAAATAAGTTAATAGAGGCAT